TGTCAGTGGCCCAAGGTTAAAAATGCTTTGAAAACCTTTGATCTAGATGTATGATAGTTATTTCGTGGGTCCCTTATTTTTGACTTGACCTGACTAGTCACGACACCCCCCTTCTCTTAAGCTCCTCTACGTGTGTGTTGGTGTAGGGATTAGTGGATGACATCATTATGACCTGACCTCATGTTTTATAAGGCCCGCGTAAAGTGAGAAACGCATAAAGTGAACAACATAACATATGGGATTAATTGAAATAGAGACCGGGCCGACCCCCAAACTCCACTTTTTCAGACACAATACCTACGTTGTAGTAAAAATAACTTCTTTATTTTATGATGGTATGCACACACAATTAATAATTAAGAGAAATATCAATAATATTAGGTTTTTTAACACTTACATTAGTAGAAAAGATGGCTGGGCACACGGGGATGGGGGATTGGTTCTGAGGCAGGGGGCAGATTATTGGCCCTCACCTGTATCACTTGTATCAATTGTATCACTATTCACCACAGAGGCTTGCAGGGCCTCTTTGTCAAACCCCTCAAAGTCCATATAAGTCCATATCCTCACTATCATTATCACTATCACTGACTTGGGCCGGCTGTGGTGGGTGGCGGGTGAAGAACTCGGTAATGTTTTGATGACTGGGCGACCTTGTGCGCACCCTGCTCGCGCCGCTCTCCGCGTAAAAGGGTACACACACCACGGAAAGTGAGCATTCCGTGTTCGGCAGGGTACCGCTTAAACGTGGAAACGCGTAAAGTGGGACCGCGTAAAGTGAGGGTTGACTGTATATAGTGTTGTACCGCGGCTCACAGTAAGAGTGTCAGGCGCCATATTGGTTCATTGTGTAGTCAGTGCACCACTGAACTTGTTGAAATTTCGTCTTTTGATGTGGAAATTCGTGTTATTTTTATAACCATTTTGTTATACAAGTGTACAATTGTAACAATGAATCGTCAAAAGCGAGTGAGAAAGCTAATAACCCTTGAAAAGCTAATAACCCTTGAAACTAAGAAAGAAATTATAAATAAACAGACAAAGTGCCTGTAAGACAGTCACCAAAGAGGGCTAGGAAGGATGACTCCTCTCCTTCCACCTCTTCTCCATAATTCTCTCCTCCCCCCTCCCCCTCTGCCTCCTGTCCTGCATGCTGAACAACACTAAGGTAAGATACAGTACCGTATTTTTTACAATTTCCTCAGAAATTTTTCAGTGTTAAGTGGTTGTATTTGGGGGCCTGGAACGGATTAATCCTATTCAAGACATCTTCAGAGGCAACTAGATTACATGGACAGAGAGAGGCTTAAATATACAGGGTGACCTAAAAACATGAGGTCAGGTCATAATGATGACATCCACTAATCCCCACACCAACACAACCGTAGAGGAGCTTAAGAGAAGGGTGGTGACGTGACTAGACAGGTCAGGTCAGAAAAAAGGGACCCACAAAATAACTGTCATACATCAAGATCAAAGGTTTTCAAAGCAGTTTTAACCTTGGGCCACTGACAAATAAATTTATGTAACATATTATCAGTTTTGAACTGACCATCACTAAGGTTTATTGATTTTAATTCCTTAATCAAACTAGCTTCAACCAGAAGTCTTTCTGTGACACAAGATGATTTGAATACTTCTAAGCTTTTTTCCCAAGCAATGGGGTGATTATTATTCCTAACATGAACGAACAAGGCACTGCTTTCAGATGCAGTTCTGATATTATACTTATGTTGTTTGATTCTGAGCTGCAGTGTTTTTCCTGTCTGACCTACATAATTACAATTACATTGGCTACATGAAATACAATAAACACTTCCATTTACATTCAAACTTGGGCTATTCCTTATTAACATATTGGTAATGGTTGAGTCATACTTGAAAACAACATTAATATTTAGAAGCTTGAGGGACCGAACTAAAGGGACAAATTCATCACGATAGGGCAGAGTCAAAATATTCTTAAGTGTTTCCATTTTCCCGTGTGATTTTATCAAGATTTATCTTATCCACGTTTTCATTGTGGATTTACATGATATATATATATATATATATATATATATATATATATATATATATATATATATATATATATATATATATATATATATATATATATATATATATATATATATATATATATATATATATATATATATATATATATATATATTGGGTTAGGTTCTGTACTATGAATTGACCTTGGACTTTTATTGGATATGAAAAGTTAGGTTTGGTTTTCAAAGGTTTGTTTGGTGTTTTTTGTGGGTGAATTTTTTATCTTGCACCGGTATTTCTCTCGCTGTTCTTAATATGTTTTTGTAATGTTTAGACAATTCTAAGACCCTTTTCTCGTGATATTTCCGCTGGAAATTAAGGATAACGGAGATAATAAATTTTCAAAATTATTAGATTTGGTCAGTCACAAGTGTCGCCATTTGTTGTTTACGTCTCATAGAGAAGGTCTGACCACCCATCACGCAGTGCGCCTTACCTCTGTGTTGGCTTCTTAAGCGTCTACAGCGCAAGTACGAAGGGTGGTGTGGGAGTTTCTTATTGGCTATAGCGATAGGAGACTTATAATTGGGCAAGAGTTTTTTGTCTTAGCCAATGAACAATGCGTGGGTGCATTGGGAGCGGAGATTTGATTTTTAAGTACCAGAATAACCAGATATGGCTGAACAGGTGGAAAGAGCGGTGCTGACATTGTGATAAAGAGATTATTTTACGTCAATTGCAGTTTCATCAGAAAAATAGTGTTAGGTTAGGTTCAGGTTAGGTTTGTTTTTGTTGTTTTTTATTTGTGATTTACTCGAAAAAAAAAATTTTGTTTAGATTAATGGGTAAGGTGGGGGTTCTAAAAAACTATTGATTTCCAGCTGAAATAAATATCAAATTCGTTCAAAACTCATCAAATAACATTGGAAAAACATATTTTTTAATATCCAAACAAAGACCGGTGCATTAGTGAAAATTTACCTTTTTGTGTGTTTTAACCCCACATTTTCCCCTCCTCTTCAAAGCCCTGCCTATTTTATGAAAACCATTGTCATTGCTAGTGTAGGTGATCATATCTCCATAAATATCCATCTCCCATAGAAATGAAGGTCATATTCATTTATCAAAGGAAAAATTACAAAAGAAAAGCCAATTTTTTTAATCAATTTCCTTATAAAATAAAACAAAATTTTACCAACAAAAGACCATAGAGAAACAAACCTGAAATCTAAAACCTCAGAAAAGCTCTAAAAATATAAATTTTGGGTATTATTCCATATATTGCTACTAAAAAATCTCAGAAATTTTATAGTTGCAATCAGCAACTTTGGCAATTCAACACAATGTATTAGTAAGATATTCATTTTATTATGTAATGTTCATAAGTGGTGGTACACGCCCAGAAAAATGAATGACTGTGGAGCCCCCAGTTAGGTTAGACTAGGTTTGGTTGGGTTGGTTTGGTTTGGTTTGGTTGGTTAGGTTAAGCTAAAAACTATGTTTTTCCGATAGATTTTGATGTACTTTGAACACATTTTACTGTGATTTTTATAGCAAATCTCTAGATTCTGTGATGGAAGGGGGCTCATCTTAAAAACTATTGATTTGCGCCAGAAATGAAGGTCAAATTTGTTCATAACACATTAAAACCACCGGGAAAACATAGTTTCAACATCTATTTCGTTTAGTGGCAACAAGTTAAATGTTACCGATAATCAGGTTAAGATTAGGAAAATGACAACAACAGAACTTTATACTGATTTGTGGTATTATTCCAGTTTCGGCCAATACACGGCTGACTGTTTTAGCTCCTTATTTGGAGTACTTTTAACCCCTTTTCAAGCAGGGGGCAAAGAATAATATCGTCAGAAATGATTTTTAAAGTTGAGGGGGGGGGGGATAACTCTAAAACGGGTACTTTCACCAGGAAGTAAAGGTTAAATCACACCAAAATACACAGGATAAACTCATTTCTAAGCTACTAAGGCATATATGCCGAAACTGCAATTTTGGTATTATTTTCTTGTAGTTCCGTTCATTCCTACCACTAATCTATTATCATATTCGAATAAGACGTCTAATTATAAGATAATTTTCATCTATTACATTACCGGCGGAAATGCATAATAAGGAAGATAGCTCTCCCAAAATTTTTTCTATTTTCTTCCATTATTTCCCGCCATTATCGTCTGCCTCTTACCTAACACTGAGTGTCTCTCGCGTCTCCTTCATAAATCATGACGCGCATGCATACCCGTACACGTCACGCGGCCAATCAAAAGCGTTTTTGCTAATTCAGAGTATATTTGGCCCAATCAAAATCGAGTTTTATTTTGGGTCTCATATTTTGAAATTCAAGTTCAGTTCCGACCATGGAGGTCTGTGATGGGTGTCACTTAAAGTATATGGAGTTGATTGCGAGTTTTTGGAAAAAAAAATAACGTAGAAACTATAGCATTTTTTCGATCGCATGGTGTTCTTCCCACCTCAGTTAAGTGTACTAAGAGCAAGACTGAATGTAAATATCGTAAAGACCAACATATGTGGCATTGTGGAAGTATTCCAGAATGCAATGACGAACAAGTACCAGGCCAATAAGGTAAGAAATAGGTGATTCCATCATATGATGAGAGTCAGTTAAGTTAGGTCAGGTTAGGTTTGGTTTAGTTATTGTTTTCTAGTGTTTTATTGTGTATTTGTTAGTCGCTTAGGGCCTTTTTTTTTCTCGGAAAACGTGAAACGGAAAAAAAACGCAAAAAACCCGGCTAATTTCCGCCGAAAAGGAAGGTCATATTCGGTCTCAGCACACACACACACACTAGAAAAATATATTTTTTACTTGCTACAAGTGAAAGGAGCTACAAGAACAATTTACCCTACAATCATCAATAAAGTCAGTGACAATTATGATTACTATCAATACAGTGACCACTAGGCCTATCATGAGTAGTGTGATAACTATACCAAGAGTAGTGTCACTACCAACAGTAAAGTATCAGTACCATCAGAACTATAATTAATGGGCATTATGACACAGATCACAGCAGCCACCACCACACGTCTACCTTTAATACAGTAACTGGGACACACAACTGACCACTTGTAGTAACTGACTGACTGGTAGCAGCCCAAAGTAAACACACAATGAAGTGTTGTGATGAGAATTCTCCAAGTTCAAGAATCAAAACGTCACATTTACGTCATAATGTCAAGAAATTACCGGATTACATTTAACGTTTTCCCTATGAATATATGAGCGTGACGTCACAACGTTGAGATATCCTCTATGTGGATCTGTAATTCATGAACGCAAAAAATGGCATCCGGCAAAATTAGACTGAAAAAATATTGCCATAAAATGCAATTTTTTTCTTTTAAATTTAAGAAATACCACAAACTGAGTAGCATAACTATACATTTATATTCAAGGTAACTCGAAGCAACCTAAACTAGCCTAACTAGAACTACTCTAGGATTGTTAAGGTCCAAAATTTTAGGTGAAAAAAAGAGATGAATTATCGATTCTATTCATTTGTAATCTGCACAAATAACTGCCACAATATATATATATATATATATATATATATATATATATATATATATATATATATATATATATATATATATATATATATATATATATATATATATATATATATATATATATATATATACCAGTTACAGCGGGAATTTGCTAGTTGAAGATTTTACTTTTATCAGTTTAATAGCCGGTCGGGCGGTTAGTCTAGCCAGTGTTACTTAGAACTTATTTGAGTACAGGCAGGACCCGGGGACCGGGAGACCTGTGGCATTTGGTAGGGTTGTAGGGGTATGAGATATTGGTTCACACTCAGGATGGGATGGAGAAAGGAAACTCACAATGTGCTCTCTCTATACATATTGTATTGGATGTACAATGCAGCTTGTTGCTGGGTAGGTAGCATGGTAATAAGCGTTGAGTAGAGAGAGCTGGGTGGTGAGGGTGCCCAGAGTGAGGGCACGCGGCTTGAGGGAAGCCAAGGTCGCTGGCGGGAGCGGGAGCCGCCAGGCTGGCACGGAGGTGTTTCTTGCTGGTGGCACTGTGTAGAAAGAGAGGCTGGTCACAGCGGTGTCAGGCCTTATAAGGCGGGGGTAGGCGTGGGTAGATAGTTGACCCCCGCTCCGCGGGCGGCGCTGGAGGCGTAGGCTGGGGAATTCGAGAAGGTTTGGTGCTTGTAGGGGAGGAATCCACTACAGGGTCACACTGGATAACACCCTTCTCACGTGTGTCAGGGACAAGGCTGGAACACTTGACATATTGATACACACGTTACCGCTGGGGTAAAGGTCATCTCGTACACAAGATCTCAGGGACCAGTCAGGGTGACAATGCTCCAGATGGGGAAGCACTTCACTCATGAAGATCGTTACTTTTTACTTTACTTCTATCCTCTTCACCACTGATCGGCTCGTTAGCCGCTTGGGCGATCACGTCTCTGTTACTTTTCCTTTTCTTTTATCCTCGATGTCGCCATAGTTAAAGTCTCCCATGATAAGGAGGTGGCTAGGGTTGAGCATCGCTGCGTTGTCTATTAAGGCTCTAGTTCCTTTGATTTAGTGGGCCACAGTTTGGGGATCTGTAGATACATCTGACAATAAATAAGTCCCCTCCTTTTAATTTAATTTTACACCACTTGGACTCTTCAAAAACGTACTCACCCTGTACCCTCGCCTGGCTGGCTCTAAGGTCTTGCCTAGCATAGATAACCACACCCCTCTTGCAAGTTTCTTGAGAAAGGTTCGTAAATAAGTCAAATGCAGCAATAGTAAACTCACATTCTTCTGGGTCGATTCTCCTGTTCTTGTACAACTCGGTGCCGTCACAACACTTTCTGGCAGATTGTTCCCAGAGTTCACAACTCTCACTCCGAACAAGTTTGCCCTCACAGTTTTCTGGACCTGCGGCTTCTTCAATTTTGAGCTGTGACCCCTTATCGAAGGACGTGACGTCGGATGATCAAATGGATGCCGCTTTGTAGCTTGGAAGTTCTGCAGTCGACTTATTCGTACCCATATATGTATATATGGGTACGAACTGTCTCGTTAATTGGGTACGACTTGACATGTTCTGATGGGTACGATTTGCTTGGGTACGAGTTGTCCAACACCCATACCGGTAAATTTCTTCAAAATGAACATTAGACATTTAGCAACATACAGTTTAACCACAACTGCAAATAGATAAAATATGAGTACAATTTTAGTTTCGGACTGTGAAGAGCTGCAGAAGGACCTCTGTGGGCTCCAGGAATGGTCGAAGAAATGGCTGCTGAGATTCAATGTCACGAAGTGTAAGAGGATGCACCTGGGGCGTACCAACGGTAAGGAGGCGTATCATATGTCCCAACGGGATGAAGAAACTGCACTAGTTGAGACTGAATGTGAGAAGGACCTAGGTGTGTATGTTGACAATGAGCTGAAGTTCTCGGGCCATTGCGAGAAGGTAAACCAGGCAAATAAATTATTGGGTCTTATAAGAAGGTCGTTCAGATATCTAGACGGTTCGTCCCTCGTAACGATCTTCAGGAGTGAAGTGCTTCCCCACCTGGAGTACTGTCACACCGCCTGGTCCCCGAGATATGCTAGGGACTGTCAGTTGGTTGAAAATGTTCAAAGGAGGGCCACCAGACTGGTGCCTGCACTTCGGCACCTCAGCTACCCTGAGAGATTAGAGTGCCTGAACTTGCCTAGCTTATACTACAGACGGGCATGGGGGGACCTAGTTGAGGTGTATAAGCATCTCAGGGGGCACTACTCAGTCGAGTGTCCTTACTTGGAGCTGGCGGACGCTCACCCCACAAGGGGTCACAGCTCAAGATTGAAGAAGCCGCAAGTCCAGAAAACTGTGAGGGCAAACTTTTTCGGAGTGAGGGTTGTAAACTCTTGGAACAATCTACCAGAGAGTGTTGTGACGGCACCGTGAGCTCTTTCAAGACAAGACTTGACCAACACTGGAGCGGGTTCAGGTTCATTCAGGAGCCGGTGCATGCCCAGTACTTGCCAACAGTGCGTGACAGAGACGTGACCGATCGCCCGAGCGGCTAGCGAGCCGATCAGTGGCGAAGAGGATAAAAGTAAATAAAAGTAAAAGTAAAAGTAACCTCTAACTTAACCTAAACTAACCACAAAACCCAGGAAATATATCTAACCTAACCGAGGTGACCGAAACTAAAATAATACCAAGATATGTCCAAGTTAAAATTCATATTTTTATTGATGTTGAATCTGAATATTACGTTTTGCCAATGTATAATATTCTGGTTAATATTTATACATTTTTAAATATTTGTACCCGTTATCTCTCTTTGTTTTCTTCACTTGATGTGATTAAAGTGACTAATGTTAAAATTTCACTACAAATATTGTAAGCGAAATAAATATTTTCTAAGGCACTTAAATTAACCCAATGAAAATTAACCGAATTAAAATATTTCTGTAGCATTGATTTGTAGAGTACTGTATGTGGCCAGTTGTCAATTAGGTTGGTTTCGGATTGCTTACTTGAAAAAAGTAATAATGGGATTGATTTCCTGTTCATGGTAGAGTAACACTATTTTGTGCTAGGGCAGGATCCTATATAAATGCAAAAACAAAGTAAAATACAAAAACAATCTAAATTTACCCCAATATTTATGTTTGGAAAATTATTTTTTGTTTGTGTATATAAATTAAAGTTAAGTAGAAAAGATCCATATTCCTGTTGTGGAAATATAAAGGTGAAAGCTATATTGAACATAAACCTTCAGCAATTCCTCTCTGTTCAGTATTATTTTCTTTATATCTCAACACTGAAAATATAAATAATTAATTCAGAGTTCATATAACACAAATATGTAAAAAAAAAAAAGTCCATCAAAATATGAATAATGTACAGGACATTATGATTAAGTGAACTTATTTATATGTTTATTTCAATCGTTTTCGCCTTTCAGTAGTACCAGACCATTAAGCTACAGGTCGACCATCTCTGGCACCACCGCCTCAATTGTTACTCGGATCCCATTGCAAATTATGTCACAGAACAATAGTTTCAAGGAAATATGCCTTGAAAAATAGTACAATGTCCAGCGTCAACATACTAGACCTTCCAGAATCTGTATTGTTGAAGATCTTCTCCTCACTGTATGCTGTCGACCTCCACACACTCTGTAGGCAAGTTGAAGAAGAGTCATTTTTAACAATTATAAATCACAAACTACTAGGTGGGACTTTGTTTACAGAAAAGTTGTTACTTGAAGAGGTAATACTTAACCTCTTGTTCAACCTTAATCATAGATTTTTTTTTAAATATTCTGAACAAAATGACTTGACATTTGTAATTTCCACATATGTTCTTAAAATTATATTAAGTATTTTAAAAGAGGTGAAGAGCTTTTTATTTTAATTATAAGTATTTTTTATTTTCTATATCCATGATCATAGTCACCTGTAGTGGGCAGGGCAGGAAGGATGGGAGATATTGCATGGTAAAACATAGTAAAAAACCGTTTATATGATACACAAATTATGTCTATATGCTTTGTACTTTTGTTTACAACTGACCCACTTGGTCCTACCGTACTCTCACGTCCATAAAAAACGTAAAGTTACACCATGACACTTCAACAAAGTTGCTTTCATTGGTACCAGATATAAAAATAAGTATATGTACTATCTGCTTAATAGGGTGGGGGGTTCGGGGGCAGGCTAGGAAGTTAGGTAAGGTTATGTAAGTTTCTTTGGATGGTTAGGTCATTATTTTCTAGAAAATAGACCTAACTTTACCTTACTACTTAGTCAGGGGGCTCTGGACCCCCTTGCATGTTAACCAGAAAGTACTTATTTTGATATTTGGTACCAATGAAAGCAGCTTTGTTGAAGCATCATGGTGTAATTTTATGTTTTTTGTGGAAGTGAGAGTAGGATTTGACTGAGTGAGTCAATTGTAAACAAACAGCGCAAACAACACGTGCCGACAACAGGAGATGCTATCTTACCTAACCTAATGTTTGAGTGTAAATATATTAAAATTAAGCATTTGCACAAGAAACAGTACTCTTAAGTACCAAAGTTGATTCATAATAGAACATAAAAGAAATATATTTAGGGTGGTCATAAACACTAGTAGAGGAATGGGTGAAAGACAAATACTGTATTAGCCATATTGACTAATAAAATCAATAAAACTTTTTATTTTAATTATAAGTATTACTGAATTTCTGATTAAGTGCACATATCTAGCTATGTCTTGGTGCACTTCACTGTGAAATTTGTTTCTTCATACAGTATGTGACAATGTGTTTTTGCAGTGTTCATCCTCGTTTCACACGTCTAGTGGGCGATTTAACCCTATGGCGTCATGTAAATTTTGGCCGAACGCCCCTGAGTCTGCAGTTTCTCCATAAGTTTATACGATTTCTGGGTCCACACACACTAACCATCACTGTGACTGGATTTGTCAAGTCCAGTGTTCGATTGCATCCAAAAGGTGAGAATCAGAGAAAGGTGGTGTTAGAATCATAGAAATGCATGAAATTGATAGAAATGAGAAATTGTAAATACTATAGAATTTATAAATGCATTTTGGTAATTGATTGATTTCAGATACCCTGTACTGTATTCTGTTTCTGAAATTATGTTGTTTTCATTATTTTTGATGGAGTTTCTAATCCCAGGGTCAATGTGTATCTCTGAAGCATTTTTGACGAGCCTGAAACGTCGTTGTCCTCACCTTCAAGAACTCAATCTTCATCGGTGCTATATTGATGCTTCCACTAAATTCTCTGCTTTGCCAGCATCTCTAAAAATGTGTCTCTGTGTGGGTCGGCACTTTTTAATTTGCCACAGGTTTGTATTCAATTAAACTCAAGAAACAGAAGTTTGACAATGTTTCTTTTAACCTAGATAGATAATATCCAGTGGAGAGAAAGGGCAGTAATAGTAGCAGGAGTTATTCTGTGTACTTGTGTTTGTTTAATATATTGTACTTCAGGAAGAGGCTATGAGAACACTGTACTGTATAGGGCAAATCTAAAGGGGCAATACTGTATATGGAGTGATTGAGAAGAGAAAGCTTGTACAGAAATTTGATAGTAGGTGACTTTGTGAATAATTGAGAAACAGGTATGTACAGTACTGTACAGTCAGTCCTTGATTTTTATTTATGAAAGGGTTCCATTCTTGAAAACCTTTCATAAATCAAATTCTCATAAGTTGGATCCCAGCTTTCTGTAGACCCCCATTATAAAAGATGAGATATGTTTTCATAAAAAAAAAATCCAAATATATTTTTAATGAAAATTTTTGGTGTACAATCAAAGACAAAAGTCGTGTCGCAATTTTGTCTGAAGATTAAATATAACAAGTGAAACATTGTTCAGCCTGTTACACTACTTACGGTAGTCTTCACAGTAACAAGGCGGTCTCAAGAAGGTAGGTGGAAGAAAAAAGAAGAATCACTTACAATGTTTGCTGACTAAGTTTTCCTTTGGAGGATTTTTAAATCATCTTGAGCAGTTGAATTGAATTTTGTCTCCAGAAACTTTCCTCCCAAATTCTGAAGGTTTGTCAAACTTGGAAAAAAAAAATCACGTCACTAATTTTTAAAATAACTCGGGCAAATAGAAATGACTTTAAATGGAGCAAGTTCTGGGATGAGATCAGTATTTAGTAATTTCCCTCCATATTTTGGGGTATTTATGGGTTCTGTTGTCTATATGTTAAATTTTGACTTCACCCATCTGGACTGCTTACTTACCTTGTTAAAACTCCTTAGAAATTTAGTGTCTTTTTAACCATGTTTTCCTTTAGTCTTCTCTTTATTATGTGTTGTCCATTTAATATCCTGAGAATGATAGGTTCAGTAGCAAGCCCAATGATAGATTCTTAAATTTCCTTATCACTTAGTAAATATTTCAGAATCATTATGGTGGTCGTGACATCTCATTTTCCGGCTGGAAAAGCATTTACCTGTGTTGGAGGAAGTGATCCTTGAAGGTTGTGGTGCATGGCTCACGAGGCAAGACCTCACACTGCTCATGAGTCACTGTCCAGCCTTACAAGTAAGTTTATTCCAGTTATGGTAGTTTTAATTATTCCTGTATTGTAGTGTTTTGGCAGTCTTGGTCTATACTGTATGTATAGCCCAATGTACAGTACAGAGTATTTTTATCTCTTACTGAATGCTCAGGGGCAATGTAGCAATTATGGCATCTTGTTAATTTTGGTTTCAGTTCAATAACCTTCCATCAACCCTTTAGACTGATGTCAATTACCCATGGAAAATTACTCATTATTCACTTATTTCATGTTGATCTGGGTTTGTACACCTTAACCAGGCATTTTGCAGGTCTGCTAGCAATCAAATGGAGTACTTTGATGTCTGTAGACCATAAATTCTGGGGTGTTTCTAGTGACTTCACCACATAATATGGGACATTCAGAACGGAGTGACCCACCCAGTTAAGAATCAGATTAATGGTAGTTCTCCTACCTGGCATAAAACCAAACTGCAAGTCATATGTCTACTCTCTCTCTCTCTCGTAAATTTCTCGATCACTCTTCCTAAAATTTTCATAACCTGATCTAGCAGCTTTAGGCCTCTGTAGTTCTTATGTTCAAGTGCATCACCTTTACCCTTGTAAGTATTTATGATCACACTGTCTCCAGTCATCTGGAAGAGAACATTCCATCATGATTACATTAACCAATTCAGTCACCATTGACATATCTACATCACCTGATGGTTTCAGCATTTTTGCAACTATTCCAGAGCTTCCAACTGCCTTTCTACTCTTCATTTTGTCAATTGCATCCTTGGGTATGGTCCTTGGGCTGGTTCTACCTACGGCTGCCCCTGTCCCATTCATAGTATTTTCTTCAGGCATCCTTAATGTTCTTATTATCAACACCCGTTATCATCGTCATTTCTCACACGCGGCTCACCAATAACATCCTTGTTTCTACCTTCTATTTGCCTGGGTATTCTGAATACCTCTCCTCCTGTATCTGTACTATTCAACATGACACAGAGATAAAATTCTTGACTGTCATGGAAATATGTAGAGGGTGGACATGAAAGAATTACAGCACATTCACTGTAATAAGAATGCTAACCTGAGTCTTCATGAAAGTTGAGTACAAAGGTAATTTTGAAATTCAAAGGTGAAGGTCAATTTATGGAAGGATCTTTATCCCAGCCAGAGTCATATTGGATACATAGGGTTAGTTAAGTTGTATGAAGAGTGAAAGTGAGTTTTTACAATAGTTTTAGATTAGATCCAACAATGCTTTTTATTTTACAGATTGTGAATGTTGGTCCTGCAAGATACACACGTACAGGGCTTTGTTCATGGGATAAACGTGATGATAAACATAGTAGCAGAATTATTCTCACTCGCAAATGGAGAGCTTAAGTTGCAATGTGGATAATTCCTACATGAAGGATCAAGTGAAGTAGTATTTGAAGTGACCTCACAGAACTAGCTTGGAATACTATTCGCTTTGTGTTTGAGAAATTTTTTCACAGTGAACTGTTAAAAGATAAACAGAAATATGGATTTGAAATATGTTTGTTTCACTGAGTAACTAGTAAAGTGAACTAGGAATCTCCTTTAATAACCCATTCTCACCTGTAGGTATTTATTTTCTCAAACTTTAATTTGTTATTTTGGACTTTTGCAATAAACCAATAAGAATAGCTCTTTATTCTGGACTGCAGTGGTGAGAAGAGGTTGATATACTGGACTCCTTAGATAACAATGGCCATGTTACACCGAGCTTCTGGTTCCTTCTCCTGGTGTTCCTCATCTTGCTGGCCTGAAGGCTTGACCAGAGAACCAGATGGAACTGGTTCATTGTATTATTCATGTGGTTTTATGATGCAATACTTCTAATATACATAAGCATCCACATGATTGATGAGTGCCGGAGAGCAGTGGAGGAGCCTGGAGGCTCACACCATCGTGCCTGCTCGCCAACGCATCTCTGCTTTCCTCCAAAGAGTGTGGCCTCTGTCAGTTGTAATTCTTAAGATGGCATTCATGGTAGCACTATGTTTCAAGTTAGAGAATCATGATGCTTATATGCCATCATTCTATGTTCTCCTACCACTGTGGACTCTGTTAATGGGCCTTTGTGGCAAAGTTCTCCGTTGTCTTGTGCTGCAGCACCAAGACCGTTACCCTATCTGCATTGTCATTACTGAAGTGATGTTTTATTTCTCCAGAAATATGGTTACTGGAAGAATGTGTAATGTACAAGTATGTATCAAGAAATGGTATATATAGAGTTGGATTATCCAAATTTCTTGTCAACAAAATCTTTAAAGGTCTTTTCTTATATTAGTTTCAGGAATTTAGTTTTTGTTTGCCAATTAAAGCATTTTTTTTCAGGTGTTACTGACTGTCACATGTGTCTTCTGAGAATTGAATGCATATAATTTCTTTATAATTTGCATAATAAATTATTTTAAAAATATTGTGTTTCAAATTCCAGAAACAAGTGTGGATATTGTAAAGATAATTGTACAAAAAAAAGGGGGGGGGGGATAATGTACTGTAAACTTAAAACCTTTTAACTTTAACTCCTTGTGTATGGGGTCTCCTTTGAACTGAATAAAATTGTTTGGCATTAACCAAATACAGTTTATATTAAAAATAGCATCCCTGTAGTGAAGAAGGGGTTAATATCCTTGTTCTTTAGCTTGAGTCTACCTTTTGTCATTCATCTTAGTTTTACCATTCAATCCACTTTTATATTCAAGTTATCACCCATAACATTCCCTGACTGTTCTTTTATTTCAGAGAAGAGTCATGCAGTAGCTATGAAGAGTTTGTACTTTCTTATCTCTACACCATGCCAAGAGGTTCTCAGCACCTTTACTTGCATCTGTCACTTATAATGCATCTTTGGCAAAGTCTAATGCATGGAGTTTTAATCACCCTCTTCCGTTGATGGGGCTGTCGTGTTTACAACCAAACTTTATGTGGTCATGAAGAACACCACACTGTAGCACATCACAGGAAGGTGTGGCGGTAAAATAAAATGCCATACCTCCCTGTGGCTACAGTGTGGTGTCCAGACCAATTTTTATGAACAAGCATTATTACACTTGTTAATCTCAATTATAACCACTTATTATAGTGTGTAAGTCCTCGATATATGCGAGTTCAGCATATGTGAATTCACTCGTATGTGAGTAAGTACATTGTCACCGAGTCTCATGTTTCTTCATTACTGTTGGGCGTTGTGCCGTTTGTGCTTATTTTTGTGCCACAATGCATGCAGTCTCGCACTAGCATCCGTTCCGTGTGGACTACCGCTCTATCTCTCCTGAGGATGCTTTCGTGATTTGACGTTTTGTTTTTTCACCCATTATCCATATTTCTCCAGTAATATGGCTTCAAGCATCCTGCATTAACTTTCCGAGCCCCTGTTCACCCATGAAGAGGAAGAGAACAGCTGTAACACTAAAATTAACGTTAGAAATTTTGAATCGTGAGGCGAGTGAGGGAGCGTTGTGCTAGCCATTACTACAACATGGGTGAATCCACGATTCAAAATACAGTATTAAGAAGAATGCAGGCAAGATACAAGGTGCTGTTCAGCATGCAACACCTCTTTCTGCCAAAATAACAAAAGTGAGAAATCCAGAGATTGAGGAGATGCTCTCTATGTACACCCACAAAAAAATTATTCGGCACCCGTGTCATATTGTATCACGCCGTAAGGATGTAGCTTAATTTTTTAGTGGGTGTTCGTGATACTTAATACACACACACACACACACACATGTATAACTGCACAATACATACATGTAAACCCAAAAATTTATTGGTCACCCTTACGGCTTGATACAATATGACAAGGGTGCCGAATAATTTTAAATGAATGTATAAACCTAATACGAAGAAAAAATGGTAGTAACAACGCTGATTAGGGCTAAGGCTCTGAAAATTTATGAACGTTTGTGTCAAGAAAAGGGTTCTGCCAACCCAGAACCTTTTATTGCTAGCAAGGGCTGGCTTGATAAATTTATTAAGCTCCATAACCTGCACAATCTCAAAGTGACTGGGGAAACAGTAAGTGCAGATCAAGGTAAGTTGTTCTACATTATGAGTGTATAAAAATATTGTTATCAACAATATGTGCAATATAATCGTATGAATACGGTATATTACAGTAATGTCATTTTCTGGGTGGGTTGTAGGTCTTTATAGGGGGATTTGGGTGACACCAAGCAATTGATCAAGCTTATTTACATGTGCAGTATTTCAATGTCTTTCGTTTCGCAATTTTAAATTTACGATGTGGCGGGTACCAATTAGTCACAAAACTTGAGATTCTATTGTACACTTTACTGTACCCTTGCTTTATCTATTGTTTTATAAATAGATGTTGTATTGATTTCTTCTATAGTTTAAATGTCCTGAAATTGTGTTGAAAATGGGTATGGAACATTTCATTTTGGTTTATTGAACACAAAAATTTTTTGCATTTAATTAAGTATTCGATATACCTGTACAGTCAACCCTCGTTAATTCGGACCCCCTTTAATCCGGATTTCGGATAATTCGGACAAAATCTGATTTTTTTTTTTTTTTTTTTTTTTAAAGATTTGGGAATATTACCTCACAGCGGACCTTAAGCTAAAATGCTGGTCCACCCACTGCTGGGATAAAACATGTAACATCTCCACCACTAGTATGGGCGAGAGCAACTTTTAGCTTCAGACATGAAAAATATTTACCATTTACTGCCAGTAAACAATGGAAACGTAAAATGTACCAATTAGTAATGAAAAGTTGTGCAGTTCCTTCAGCAAATGACTCACCAACTTACAATAGGCTAAATTACCTAACGTGTTTTCAGTAGTCTATGTTGAAGTTCTTAGCACAGGCTAACTTATCATATCACATACAGTATCACAGTTCTCATTATAGTGGATACAACATCCACCCTACAGACACGGCCTAGGCTGCGTTAGGGACCTGTATGGATGAAGGGACGGGCACTTACTAACGGTTAAAATGCCCGCGGCGCCCTCACTCAAACTAGGCCAGGGAGTCCAGCTACTCCTATTCCAATGAATTAATTTACGGTACCCTCTGACGTTGAAATTGAGACTATGAACTCCTTTTCATTCTCTACTATTATCTTCACTAACAATGCTCTGACTCAGCTATCGAAAGCAAAATTAAATTGATTACAAAGGAATGGATGGCAACAGGTCCCAGCATACAGCGTCTGCTCCCATAGACAAAGGCGGGGGAAACAGAGAAAACGGGGGACGTTTCCACTGGGGGACTCGGAAGGTTTTGTGGACGTTTGAGCGTAATATGAATCCTTAAGGTTTTCAGGTTAGCTCTTATCATGTAACCATTACAATTGATCTACAAAAAATACCGGTAATAAAAACCTTTTCGATATTTCACACTTTAATATAATACCCGGTAATCTACTTCAACCTCCTATTGTTTACAACGACGCATGACGCACCACCAGCTGTTGAGTATCAGCTAGAGGGTACACTTGTTTTTCGAATCGTTTTCAGTTTAAAAACTGCGACATCACATGTATATTTTACCTAAACTGCACCTGAATGAATATATTCTCGGAAATAAATAGTAGTTTTGCTGAAAAGGTGATGTATTTTAATGTAAAATAGGATAAAATACATGACGAAAACAAAAGATTTTACCTAACCTTCCGATGTTCAAGAGAAGATCCTCGTCTTTTTAATAGTTTTCGGTTAAAATACTGTTATATTACAATGATATTCTATTCATACTGTGCTTGATATAATACATTCACGGAAATGTAATATTTTTGCTGAAATTACGTACGTATTACAGTGGAAAGTGGGATAAAATCGTGACGAAAACAATGACTTTGAAATATAATGCAATATTAACCCCTAAATCGGTTAATTCGGACAATCGGCTAAAACGGACACCCTTCCCCCCCTATTAGTCCGAATTAACGAGGGTCGACTGTACAGTAAGATCTTGTATTTCGCGAGTAATATACGGCAGACTGGAAAAATTGTGCCAAATTCAAATACATAAACTAATGGGAAAAATAACAATATAGACTGGCCACTTTATATCAACCTCTGATTTTCCCATTCATAACCTCCAAATGATGCAAATTCTGCCTTTATTGTGCTTTCCGGAAACTAGTTTTTAAGCCTTCCTCAAGTAATTTAATCACACGCTGCTTATCCTGCATCGAGTACTTGGCAAACTTAACTCCCTTATGATAGTCCCGCTTCTCCTTTTCCTTATTTGGCTACTAAGGTGGGTCTGTCCCACCAGCACCAGTAGGACCCCCAGTAGAGGTAGAGACTATTATCTTGACTCGACAGGTGGTAGCACCACCCAAAAAAGCACACAATAACAGCCCAGTCGGTCGCTAGGATGGCGCAGGCGACAATGCTATAGTTGCGTTCTTGTAAACCTCTTTTACGTTCACCACCAGCAATTCGATCACCAGAACGCTTCTTGGAAACATTCTTCTTACCTTGTCTTTCTGTATTCATCGCTAACACAACAAAATTGGAGAAAATAGCGAAAATCACGGAGTAATTGACAGAAACCGCGCGATTCAACAGATCACCTGATGTAAACAGAGCGCTGGTGTAAACCGTTATTAGTCCTCACTGAAAAACATTCTTTTTACTTATTATTTTCATACAGTATTTATAGGTAACAGCTAAATTTGCGAAAAAAGAAATATAGAGTACCTCTCAAAACACACTTCGCAAACAAAAGACACGAATCAATTGAACATGTGATGTCGAACGTGAACTGTAAACATTGCATAACCCCGTGCCACTCTTAAAACGTTGAAGATGGAATCGCGCTATAGCCAACATTCGTATGCAAAAGTTTGCATATTACAAACAGCGTTCCCCTATTCATCAATCGCGTTGCAATCAATTCGCGTTGACAAAACACTGTGGCCAGCATTCAGCTTGTTGGATTTCGCGTTCAGCTGGCTGGATCTTGCGAAATTCACGATATTTTATGCCAAATATAAGACTTGGTTACATTAGGTAGTGCTCGCGAAATTAAAAAACGTGAAATGAAATCGCGCGAAATGAGATTATATATGTATACAGTCATGCGCCGGTTAACGTCCTAGATACGTTCTTGGAAACGTGACATTAACCGAAATGGACGTTGTCCGATCACCACATAAACTTTTTATTCATACTTGTACTTACATGTATGTGGAATACTATATACGTACATATACACTTTTACTCTTAAATCACTACTGTAATGTGATACAGGCGATTAATTTTTATCTCTTGTGCAAAATACATGGCGTTTATATTAAAATTATTCACTGTTTTACAAGGATTCTAGCAACGCTGGGCAGTTGGGGAGAGGGAGGGAGGGAGCGAGCGAGGGGGCTTGGGTGGAGGGGAGGTAGTACGCTTGATAGTTGGCACAGGCCCAGGTCTAACAC